GGCCACAGGCAGAAGTTCTGAGCTTCCCCCCACCCCCACGGGACTGAGCCCTGCCCCCCAGACACCCCACCATAGAGGGGGGCTCAGTCCCCATGGGTCAGGCACAGCTCGGCCTCCCAGATGCTCCCACCATCAATCTCCCTAAGGGGCTTCTCTGGCCCCCCAGTCTCTGAGTCCCTCCCACTCTCTGCTGCATTCACCCCCCACCCCGTGGGGCAGGGCAGGGCCATTGTCCCCATGGCCCAGCTGGGGAGGGAGGCCCAGAGAAGTCAGTGACTGGCCCAGGGTCATACACAGTCTGTGGCAGGGCCAGGAATGACCCCAGGGCTCCTGGATCCCAGGCCAGCCCCGAACTGCTGGGCCGGCCCCTCTCCGGCCTCTCCAGCACTCGGCCCCTCGTTAGCCGGGGTGGGGGGTGAGTTAGTGCCATGGGGGCGGGAAGCAGTGGCTTTGGGCAGGGGGCAAGGACCAACGTGCCCCACACAGGTCCCAGGACAGACCCCGGGGGAAGGAGTTTGGTCACTAACAGCAGATCGGAGCCGGTGCCAGCAGAAAGGAAAGGCCCCATGTCCCCATCCCCACCTCCCCAGCCAGTCAGTCCCCACCCTGGGGCCAGATGGGAACAGCGCCCCCTAGAGGGTGAGGGTCTGTGTCCCAGTCTCCCATGGATGGTGCCCCAAACCCCGTTTGTGGCCTGGTCTACACTTAACACTTATCCTGGCAGAGCTCTGTGGGTCAGGGTGTAACCCCCGCCCAGTGCAGAGCTGGGCCGGCCAAGTCCCCTGTGTGCAAACAACCGTGACTGCAGAACAGGGTGTCTGGGGGTGGCGTGAGCGCTGTGTGTGGAGACAAACTCTCCCTGGAGACGCTGCGTCCACACCAGGGACAACTCCCCCCCCCACACACACTCCGGAGGCGCCATGTCCACACCGGGAGCAGGCATCTGGCCGGGAATTTGCAGTATTGTCAACCCAAAATGTTCAAAAATCCTGCAATGATGTACAAATACTAGCTGTGGGATTTATTTTCCTTCTGCTTTTTGACCCCTTAGGGTGCCCAGAGGGTCACAGGTTGAAGCTGTTCCCATGGTCCCGAGGGCTGGACACTCCCTTTGTCTTTAAGAATGAGGCTGGAATCGTCCCAGACCCACATGAATCCTGGAGCTGGGGCTTTAGGAAAACACAAGAATTATCCTGAGACTCGATGATACAATCCTGAGAGACAGTGTGATGAAGTGGGGGATTGTCTTGTTTTTTCCATGTTTTTCCAATGGTTTGCATGCAGAAGGAGTGGGACTCAGTGTCCCCGGGTGTTACTGGTGAAGGGAGAGGGAGTTTGTTGTTACAGAGAACCGGAGAGGGGACTTGGGACCCCAGCCGATGGCCTGGAGGACGGATACCCCAGTGACTGGTGACCTGGTGACCCAGAGACCCAGGTCAGGAGTCGCAGCTGGTTCTGGCCAGTGGGAGGACAATGGGCTGCAGAGAGAGGACCCCGGTGACCTAACCAGCCAGTTCCAGCCAGAGAGGGCCAGAAGACAGAAGAGGGGAGAGGAGGCCCAGGCGACCCTGTTTTCCCGGAGAGAAGACAATGGATAGAGGCAGGGCTTGGGGCCAGTGATCTCAGATGCCAGCTGGGAAGCAGGGGGGCTCTGGGCTGGAGACGGGGAGCAGGCAGAGCCCACCTGGATGCAGGGGAGACTGGGATGTGATGGGCTGAGGGAGGCCAGACCTGAGGCCCTGAGAGTTTCCTGTGCTGTGTTCAACTCTCAATAAACCCTCCTGTGTTATGCTGGCTGAGAGTCACTCTGGTCTAGAGAACATGGTGGCATCAACCCCTTCAGGGGGGTGGAGGCCCCGGGGGTCCAGAGTGAGGGGACTCCCTGAGGGGCCCCTGGCGAGAGACAGACGTGCTAAGGCTCCGAGAGGTGCAGCTCCAGCAGGTGGAGGGGCCTGACCCCCGAGAGAGAGTGGACCGCCAAGAAGAGCTGTCTCACTGAAAGGGGCACCCCCCCATGGACCGCACGAGGCCAGGAGTGGGCACGATCTGTGAGTCTGTGACAGCCGGGAACACTGAATTTCCTCTCTGAGGGGCTTGGCGCTGCTGCTCTGCCCGGTAACAGCCTGGTCAGCGCAGGGATTTCAGCCATTGGCATTCAAGCTCCCCTGGCCAATGCCAGGCGCT